CCTTAATATTTACCCCTATTTTTCTAAGTTTATACCAGTCTTTTATTTATTTATACAGCCTTGACTTCCTCTCCATATGAAAAATCTATGTCTACATTTTTTAAGTCCCTCTTTTTTGTTTTAGTGTTGTCATCTTTTTCATATTGATGTCTGTTTCCCGATTTTCAGTGTTTTAGCTTTGATTTACTTTTGTGTCTTCCCTATCTGGGTTGATATCTGGTTGCTCTGTCCTGTGTTCTAGTCTTGGGTTGTTGTCTGATGTTACTGATTTTCTAACCGGAGGACTTCCTTTAGTATTTCTGGTAATTTTGGTTTGGTTTTTGCAAATTCCCTGAACTTCTGTTTACCTGGAAATGGCCTAATTTTGCCATCATATTTGAGAGACAGTTTTGCTGAATATATGATTCTTGGCTGGCAGTTTTTTTCCTTCAAGGCTTTGTATATGTCATCCCATTGCCTTCTTGCCTGCATGGTTTCTGCTGAGTAGTCGGAGCTTATTCTCATTGACTCTCCTTTGTAGATGACTTTTCATTTATTCCTAGCTGCTCTTAAAATTCTTTCTTTATCTTTGGTTTTGGCAAGTTTGATTATAATATGACATGGGGACTTTCTTTTGGGATCTACCTTAAGTGGGGTTCGATGAGCATCTTGGATAGATATCTTGTCACCTTTCACGATATCAGGGAAGTTTTCTGCCAACAGATCTTCAACTATTCTCTGTGTATTTTCTGTTATTCCCCCCATTCTGGTACTCCAATCACTGGTAGGTTATTCCCCTTGATAGAGTCCCACATAATTCTTAGGGTTTCTTCATTTTTTAAAATCCTTTTATCTGATTTTTCCTCAAATAAGTTGGTGTCAAGTGCTTTATCTTCAATCTCAGTAATTCTGACTTCCATTGCCTCATTTCTGCTCCTATGACTTTCTATTGAGTTGTCTAATTCTGAGATTTTATTGTTAATCTTCTGAATTTCTGATTGCTGTCTCTCTATGGATTCTTGCAGTCTGTTAAATTTGTCATTATGCTCTTCTCTAATCTTTTTAATTTCCCCTATTGTGTGTTCTGCATTTTGCTTAATTTCCTTCCTAATTTCTTGAAGAGTTCTGTATATTAATCTTTTGTATTCTGCCTCCAGTAATTCCAAGAAATTTTCCTCCTCTGGAAAATTTCCAGATTCTTTATTTTGGGAGCTTGCTGAAGCCATCATGGATTGTCTCTTTATTGGATTTGATACTGACTGTTGTCTCTGAGCTATCAATAAGTTATTATATTTATTTATTTTATGTTTGATTACTGTGTCCTAGCTTCTTGTTTTGTTTTGATATGCCCAAATAGGCTGCTTGTATGAGCTAGTTTGATTATTGGCATCTCTGAAGCTCTAATGTCCTGTCACCAGGTGATTAGATCTGTTACTAGGTATGTGAGCTCAGGAGTCCACCCACTCCTCCTGTATGGATTCAGCTCAGGTGCCCAGCTAGACAGCCACCAAGTGTGTGGTGTGGGCTCTCACAGTCCTAGACAGGCATGGGTGATTGGTGTAGGCACAGGCATCTGGCTGTAGCAGGGGGACACATTCTGAGCAAGGCAGGGGGCTGACAGATGCCCCCCAGTGTCCAGGAGGAAGGCGTGTCCCTGTTCCCTAGAGCGTGTAGGTGGGTGCATTTTGCAGCTGGACTATGAGCACCTAATGCTGTTGGCTGTAAGGACTGGGGGCACCTCTTATTCATGGGCCCCTATCACAGGTGGCTAGGTGGTGTGGGTGGAGCCACAAGTCCTCAGGCTCCTCTGTGTGTAGGTGAAGACCCTACTTAATGGGCAGAGCACTGTCAAATGTTGAGAACCTGCCACTTCACAGCTGATACATTTGAAGTTAGGGTTCCGCTATATACCCTGTTATACTGCAGTAATGAGGGCCTACGCTGTTGAGATGGGCCCACACAAGTCTATGCAGGGGGAAAGGCACTCAAAGTCCGTGGATCCCTTATGCCTGTGCTTAGGCAAAGGAGCTGTGCCAACCCTGGGTTCCTGGCTTAGGGGAGCTGACAGTTTATTTTTTCCCTTGTTTATTAATTTGTTCACTCTCCGAGGCAGGGAGAATGGCTCCTGGCATGTGACAGATCCTACTTCTGGCCCAGGGGACTAGACAATTGCTGAAGCTGGTCTTGGACCCAGTGCAGAGCAGGGAGCGGGGAGGT